TGTAGTGCTGTGCTAACAATAACAGGCAATAAGAGTATCTTAATCTGCTCTTATACAGTTATACTTTATAAAATAACACGTTTTGTTTTTCTTTTTAAGAATTTGAAAATAATGGACTATAAGATAACTTTTATTAAATATATAAAAATAAAACTACGACCAAACCGAACGCGCGAAAGAAAGTAGCATTTTTATATTTAGATTGAAAATGGTAACCCCAAATGGCGTTATGGGCCGCCATTTTGTGACGCTAAAACAGTTGTCTATTGTCGTTTCGTGCGCATATACCACGTTCTTCAAGTGTTTTTGATCTGTTTTTATTTGATTACCCGGCTTTCGTTTAATGGACTGTTTCTGCTTTTCAAACTAACATCGGCGCTAAATCGGATTTCGATTGTGTTTTGTATTGCGTTCTTTTTACTTTTGGTGCATAATAATGCTTAAACGTGGACAAACATTGAAAAGTGGAGCCCGTAAGTTAATCATCAAGCTGCAAGATTACTTTGAGCGGGAGCGGCAAAATGGCGGACCCCTGTTACCTGTCGAACAAGTACAAGAACGCGTCTCTCAGGCGCTTGGAGTTAGCAAACAAACGATAACAAATATTAATAAAGAAAAGTTCGGCTCTACTGGCACGGAAGATAATATTTTACGTACTCCGAAGAAGAAACGTAGAACTAAACCGGTGACAGATATTGACACCTTTGACGCCGATGCAATCAAAAATCATATATATGGTTACTATTCCAGAAATGAACATCTCAACAGGAAGACGCTTTTGGCATCGTTAAGAGAAGCTGGACTGTTTAGCGGGGGTAAAACTGCTTTAACCAAAATCTTAAAAGATATTGGTCTTTCGTATATAAAAACAGAGAAAAGAAAAATTTTATTAGAACGATACGACATAATTTTAAAACGGATAAGTTTTTTGAGAGAAGCAAAAATATTGATAACTGGGATAGTGTCGTGTTCATTGACGAGACATGGCTAAACGCCAATCACACGGTTTCCCGTTCTTGGATGGATGATACACAAGCGTCGACGTCGAAAGTACCAATGGGTAAGGGGGCCCGTCTGATAATATGCCACGCAGGTTCTGCAAAATACGGCTTTGTGGAGAACGCGTTACTGGCATTTCAATCAAAAACCACAAATGACTACCACGAGAAAATGAATGCCACTACATTTAAAGAGTGGTTCCAGAACGTGCTTTTGCCCAGCCTACCAGAGCCTTATGTAATATTCATGGATAATGCCTCCTATCACTCGGTTCAAATACAGAAACCACTTACCCAAGCTAATAAAAAAGAAGAAATGGTGGCTTGGTTACAAGAAAAAGGCATTGACGCAAATATGCAGATGCTAAAACCAGAGCTAATTAAATTAGTTAAAGAAAATAAAGCGGCAAATGTGTGATACGAAATCGATGAACTTGCTCTGGATTTCGGTCATCGCGTTTTAAGAATTCCACCGTATCATTGCCAATATAACGCGTTTGAGCTAATCTGGGCTCAAATAAAAGGTTACGCCGCCCGCCACAATACTTCCCCGCCATTCAGCACGAAAAGATGATGACCCTATTAAAAGAAGCCTGCGGGGAAGTCACAAGAGATGACTGGGCAAAGATTGTTGAGAAGACTAAAAACTTGATTGTGGAACATTTTGACCGAGATATCAGGATTGATTCTGTTATTGATAATAATATAATTATACATGTAGGCGAAGATGATGATGAAGACACCACCTCCTCAAGCGAATCGGAGTCTGATTAATATTCTGTACGCACATTCAATTCAATGTACTTTATTGCATAGAAATACAGATTGTAACTTTGTAACAAAGAATAAATAAAACAATTTTATTATATTAATATTTGTTACGGCCTACGGCTGCTCCCTTAAAGGTCAAATCCTCAGGGGCCTATTCAGCTGAGTTTCGACGAGCAGACGTAGGTCGGGCCCCCTCCAGGCCAAAGTGGAAAATCTCTAATTACACTAAACTATATGGGGGAGCGTTCTATACTACGGCCAGTCGACCGGGAGGATATTAGACGGAGCTTACTTACCTATATCCAAGGCGACTGGTCCCTCCAGAGTCGGTCAGGTCGCATGTGGTTGTGTAGTGAAAGGGAAATTAGGTGATGTGATGTGTATCTGGGTGTGACTGATGGTGATTGACCCTAGACCTTGACCGTCGGCAGCAGCCCGGGCTTCTACACCGCTCCAAATTGAGGGAAACTTCCGCGGCGTTGTCCACAGTCACTTTCCTCGTTTGTCACGATGACAGTCCATTAACTCTATCGTACGATTAATTAACTCACAGAAGTCACTAACTCTCTTGTTTGTTATAACGTTAACGCACAAAACGAACACGGAGGTCAAAGGTCACTACCGTTTCGCGTAGCGACAGTTATTTCTAGAATATCAAAGGCCGCACTACCTAATATTGTCGAATGCACTTATACAGATTCTGAGTCGGACCTAATAAGTCCCGGGAAAGGCTATCCAACAAGGAATTCGCGGTATAAATCCTAGACAGAATGTTTACTAGACGTCTAAATTATTCCGCGGTTCCCGAACAAAAATGACAGTGTGCTATAGTTAGCACAGCTGACAGACGACTGCCTTGCATTCGCGCGCGCTCGACACATCCAACTGTCAAACCGGTATGGCACCGAGCCGCGCGCCCCCTAGACGTCGATTCCGACAACAACGTTTGGCGCTAACAAACCCCCGTCCCGGACATAAGGATTTAGGTCCACGAGCAAACCGGTCAGCGGGACAAGGTCGCGATGGCAAGTTGCAAGACCGAATCTACAAACAAACTAGGCCACCTTAGGCACCCCATCAGATCTTGCAACCCTAACCAACGCCTCAAAATTACCGCCCCAACGTGGGCAAGCCGGAGGGTTGAACTAGATGCCCTTCCTGGACATCGCAGCCCATAAATAAGTCCTATTCTGGACAGAAGTCCGACGACCTCTTTCAAACACCTATCTGTGCCCCTACGATTAGTTCCGCAATCCGACCGAATCAGGTCTGCGAACAGCGACGCGACACGAAGCGGCCCAGAGCAGCCTCCTAAGCTTCAATGCAGAGAGCACCCACAAATTCCACATGAACGTCGTCTGTGGAGAGCCGAACGAAACGCACAGATAGTCCCTAGTATGAATTTTCAACAAGTAGGCCTAGCCAGGCCACCCACCATATTATCATTTACTAAAATAGTGCGGCAGCTGATTTCAATCTGATAATCTCCAAAACTAGCTAGCCTGTTAGACAAGCAGTCCTATGCTCATATTTCAACAAATTTTTCAAAGCATCAATGTTCAACTACAGAATCAATTCAACCAAATTAATCATCGATGCACATAGGTCAACTTGACAAATTAAACAAAACAATAACGTAAGAGATAGCCCTATTTCTCATTTACGTAACTTAGACAGTGCCAACAAAATGTAAACCAAAGGAGAATTGACTTTTATTTACCTCGGCACAAATAGGGTTATCTAATTTCAGCCTTCTTTTTCACAAAGCATATACATAATTTTCCAAATAGCGCGACATTCAATTTCAAATGAATTCAAATTTTCTTTTCAACAACCAGGCGCAACAATCAAATGCAGTGATTAAATATATTTACAAAACATATTAAGGCAAGCAACAAAGCAACAAAGGAAAATCATTTTATTATTACGTACCAAAAAATATTTTTACGTATTACGGACGGGCGTGATTGTAGATACAAATTAAACCAATCAAACCAACGCTCCCTGACACCAGAATTGTTTAATTTTTATCAAACACTATGGTCGGGATTGACCGGGCAATCGAACCCGAAACCACGCTCTGCTACCAGTTTGTTATGGCCTTCGGCTGCTCCCTTAAAGGTCAAATCCTCAGGGGCCCATTCAGCTGAGTTTCGACGAGCAAACGTAGGTCGGGCCTCCTCCAGGCCAAAGTGGAAAATCTCTAATTACACTAAACTATATGGGGGAGCGTTCTATACTACGGCCAGACGACCGGGCGGATATTAGACGGAGCTTACTTACCTATATCCAAGGCGACTGGTCCCTCCGGAGTCGGTCAGGTCGCATGTGGTTGTGTAGTGAAAGGGAAATAAGGTGATGTGATGTGTATCTGGGTGTGACTGATGGTGATTGACCCTAGACCTTAACCGTCGGCAGCAGCCCGGGCGTCGACACCGCTCCAAATTGAGGGAAACTTCCGCGGCGTTGTCCACAGTCACTTTCCTCGTTCGTCACGATGACAGTCCATTAACTCTATCGTACGATTAATTAACTTACAGAAGCCACTAACTCTCTTGTTTGTTATAAGGTTAACGCACAAAACGAACACGGAGGTCAAAGGTCACTACCGTTTCGCGTAGCGACAGTTATTTCTAGAATATCAAAGGCCGCACTAGCTAATATTGTCGAATGCACTTATGCAGATTCTGAGTCGGACCTAATAAGTCCCGGGAAAGGCTATCCAACAAGGAATTCGCGTTATAAATCCTAGACAGAATGTTTACTAGACGTCTAAATTATTCCGCGGTTCCCGAACAAAAATGAAAATATTACCTTTTTTTCCTTTCCACTTAAATTACTAAAATATAAATTTGAAATGATTCCGCCAATTTAAAACGAAAATAATCTTAAAAATAACGCGGTGGTTCATTTTGGAGGAACGGTAACGAACTCAGTGTTATGTTGTTCCCATCACTAGTCGTGACTAACTGATAGGTGTCAGGAACGCATTCTCTGAACGCATCTGAACGGCCGAACTATATATAGATTATAGACCATGGGTGTTTGTTGATTATGCTAAAATGCATAATGTGTACATAATTATAATGTAATATTTATGATTTATTTATATAATTCATAGTTCCTAGATTTTTTGGAAATTTTTATAACTAGTTAAATTGTGCTGGATATTTTTTTGTATATTGGTTATTTTAAATATCATATCATTAATTATATGTGCTTATAATAAATATGGATAAATGTGATAACACCTCCGTGCAAGGAAACAAAGGTATTAATTATCAGTAGATATTAAGTAAAAATGCTTATTTTATTACAATCTTGGATTTCATGATACTATCGTTAATTTTTAGTTTCGTTTGATCCAGGCTGGAACGATCCGCCTAAGTTCTCATACAATGCACAACAGACTACACCGAATCGTCCACGCAACTTTCTTAACAAACGAGTCGCTTTTCCCCTGTCAGGCACTGGATCAACTACAACATCTGTTCCACCGGTAAATTTACCTCCTATGCCTGTGCCTGTGTCTACAACATCTCCACATAGTAAACAAAATAATTGCAAAAATGAACCTGATGATACTATTATAATTGACAGTGAAAGTACTCTTACGGAAGTGAAAGACATATTTGTAAAATTAATTGATAGTGGGGAATTAGGCTCTAAGGCAAATGACATCAGAAAAAGAATTGGTATAATGGAAGATATGTGGTTAAAAGGAAAATTAAACCCACAAATACAAACACAGATGAAAGAACTAGCATATGGTGGGTTAAGTACTTTTATAATTGAATTATGTTCATTATGTGCATTTCACTAATAGTTTATTTTATAGCTCTCCGTGATGACCAGCCGAGCAAAGCAGATGAAATCCATAAATCACTAATGGTGGATCATGTTAGTGCAGTATGCACTTGGATGTCTGGAGTTAAACAACTCATTTATCATTGTATAGCTCGTTCTGAGTTACTGGATATAGACAAACAAGAAAGTGACAAATTAAATACAGAATAAAAACCATTGAACTATATGAAATTGTTAACATTAGTCATAATTCTATAGACATGAATGTGTTAATTACCCTTATTAAATAAATATTAGAAAGTTATTTTTACCTTTTAGTACAGGTTTCATGATTTTGTTATTTCATTGTAAGTATTCTATTAGACTATTTCCAATGTATTTAATTTTCTTGTGTGTTTGCATTAATTTGTGTATATCTCATTAACATGATATCAATGTGCAAAGTTATTTATATTTAAATTAAGCCTAATTAGAAATAGATAAAATATTTCTAAGCAGTGATATGGAAATTTTCCAAAACTTGAATGAGTGTATAATATAAAAGATATGTATTTAAATAAAGATGCTTTCTATTACTGTTTTATGAGTTTAATTTCTGACATTGATTACCCATCTGCTCTTAATTGTTTATTTCTGATTCCATTCCAATATTTATTTGTCATGGGAGTGGAGTCATACAGGTATCATACAAAAATAGTTTATCTCTGTGAGAACTTCTCAATTCTGTATATAGCATAGTGATTAGTTATATCCTCTTTAGTTCTATTGGTTGTGGGTCTCGAGCACAGGTCATTCAATCACACAAACAAATACTATATTTATTTCTTAGGGTTCTGAAACATTTAAAACTGTTAGGATTAATGTTTAGAATAATATTTCTGTCTTTTGAAAAGTTTTTATGTCTTATCAACATGTGCCGCAAAAGATAAAATAGTATTGTATACTTGAAGTTATTTTCTATGATTATCACAAACTCACAAATATTTCTGCTGTATAATATTAATACACATTGGTGGAAGCGACTGTCATATAAATTTTGGATGTTAAGTAGAAGAAAGCCTTTGGCATGATACTATTATTGTACATAAACTTAATTTTTTGCTTAATCTTAATCTTCCATTCACAATGAATCCACGACTTTTTCTGCCATCAAGGCAGTGCTGTTAGAATTAGGTAAAATATTTTACTGATTTCATGGCAGTGGAAGTTAATATGTTAGAAAATAAGGATTATTATTTCTTTCTGACATAGTAGTAATATATTATATTAATTACATTAGATTTAAATAAGCTATAATAAAATGAAAAAAAAAAAGAAAGTTAACAATAAGTAACAAATCTCTTTACCTCAATCCCAACTAGGGACATCTGGCGAACAGAAGATTATTAGCTTAGCAGCCAATCACTGGTTAAAAAAATTCCATCAACTAAATCATTAAAAGAAAAAATATTGAAATGAAAACTTTTACGGAACCCAGGTTAAACAACTAAATCTTTCACAATTGACACACATCTCCCCATCTGCCATGTCACTACTTTACCGATTCGTTGCGGCACCGATTTTCGACAACTTTTAGCTGTGGCGGCGAACAAATATTTTACAAGTTAAAAAAAGGTTGTCAACCCCTAAAAATTTCAAATTTTCAAAATATCCAGAAACGAAGCTGTAGGCATGAACTACTTGCAAAATAAAGAATATTTTGCTCTGGACGAATCTTCCAAAAACGCAATTTGAGCGAGTTATAACGATTTAAAAAAAAACACGACTCGCGTGTCATACGCCACACACAAAAATAATCGTTCACCCGTTGGTTTTGGACAGGAAAACAAAAATAATCACATCTTTCACATGATGCTTTTTTACTCCATAAACAAGAGGAACATTTTATTATATTCATTTATATAAAATAATTAAGACACGCATGCAAGTTTTTGCCAAGTATTTGGTAAATAAGCTGGATCTAAAATAAAAATAAATCTGTAGTATGAAATTACTGTACATGAATTAAATAGGTAGCTTCGATTTTATGTCACTTGAACTGTAAGCAGCGCTGTCTTTCTTTCTTTGTCTTTTCCAGTCCTAACTTTCTATAGCGTAGCTGAGTTTTAACGGGAACTTGACCAGCGGCGGTTTGCTGCTCCTGTATTATTGTTTAAATAATGGTTTGAAGTGGATTTTGATATGTAAAAGTTGCGCGATTTTGTGTATTTAAAATGTCTGCGCATGTGAACTATTAGTGGAAACGGTGAATCATGTGCTCTGATGGTGATGTGATTTTCAAGATAAGGTGTCTGTCTGCTTAGGCTCCTTGAGATACCGTCGCCAACTGTCAGCTGTCTGCTGGTTCAAGTTGCCGTTTAAATCTCCCATGTGCTGCACAATGTGACGCATTAACATATTGTGAAGCAGTGTACTATGAAGGATGATTATACATTGTAACTTCAGTCTCAGAAGGGCTAGAACCCAGAGCCGTAAAGCCACATATTAAAAAAATCTATAGCGTATACATATTTTGAACCGATTGAGGTAAGTAATAAATAAAAGGATGTGTTGGTAGTAAAAGATTTATTTTTCAGTTACACACAATAAAATTTACGATCTTCATACTTAGATCGTATAAGAATAGCAAGTTTTCCATTTCTTAACATAAATTTAAATAATTAGCATGTGTCAAGATACTATTTACATGTAACAGATTAAAAAAAAAACTATAATATCGATATTTAACGTATTTACGTGGAAGGTCAAATTACCGGAGAAGATATTATTGATATTTTCTATTGAAAATTAATTGATTTACTTGATGATAGGTCCTTACTTCTAATAGTTTACTCTGTCCGAACATGGTGAATACAATTTTATAGACGTCGCGGGATTAAAGATCCCAGTGTGAATTGATTTTTGGTGTTTGATTTACTGTACCGCACAGAGAAGGTCGTCTAGTAATTGACTGTATTTCGGCTTATGGCAAAAAGCTTCCCTAATATCGTGGTTTTGTAAAATCGCTCTTCGAAGTTCTTTTCTTTCATAGTCGTTCTTAGTAGATCTTTTGGTCTATATATTATTATATTCCCCTTTTGATCGGTTTCGGGGCCACAGTGACCCGCACTGGACGACATAGCTCCACGAGAGGTGCCGGTTCTCTGCCGCTTGTTTCCTCCACCGCCAAACAAATCGATATATCGACGCCACACGGTTCCGTCCACACTCCGTGTGATATCAGAACTTTTGTTAGCAGCCGTACGTTCTGTGTACCGTCGTCATCTGAAATAACAAACCAGGTTTGAATCTTTTATTTTCTTTATCAGACCGTATCTGCCCCATTGTGGAAACGATGTGTCATGATCGTCACATTTGACAGGCGTTTTTGCTATCATAAGACCAAAAACATTGATGCTACTCCCCATTGCTTGTTTCGAGTGTTTAACGCCTGTCATTAAAATGTAAAAATTGCAGCCTATATATGTTGTACTGCTGAGCCCAAGCGTTCCCTTATTTTTGAGACTTACTAGAACTAGATACGCATTAGGACATAGGTGGTGTTCGCGACGTTAAATGTGTTTTCGCACAAATATTAGCTCCTGTTAAGTGAACCCAGGAGCGGTGACAAAGTTGCGGGTACTCAGATCATTATGCTACGCGATCGGCTCATTAATCGGTACATGATAATCATTTGACGATCCAAAATTTCGGTACCTAACACGTCCCTCGAGCCGAGAGTCGACATAATTAATGCAAGTCACGTACTTTTGTCGTAGACGAAATCAGTCATTGTTATCGAGATTACAAGTAATGTTGTCATAGTTGAAATAAGTCACGTATTTTGTTTATAGGTTTGTAAACTGGATGTTACAGAAAACGTACACAAAAACATGCCACAGAGACTAGAATTTTCTTGTTAAATTTATATGGTGACACGTTCATTTTCATGTGTTCGTGTCGGTGCGGTGACGTCACGTACGTAGTTGTGTCGAGGTGGTCGAGCGGGCGCAGGTGGTCGCGCGGCGGCACGAGCGCGTGCACGCGGCGGTCGGGGTAGGCTCGGCGTGTCGGTGCGGTGCGGTGCGGTGACGTCACGTACGTACTTGTGTCGAGGTGGTCGAGCGGGCGCAGGTGGTCGCGCGGCGGCACGAGCGCGTGCACGCGGCGGTCGGGGTAGGCTCGGCGTGTCGGTGCGGTGCGGTGCGGTGACGTCACGTACGTACTTGTGTCGAGGTGGTCGAGCGGGCGCAGGTGGTCGCGCGGCGGCACGAGCGCGTGCACGCGGCGGTCGGGGTAGGCTCGGCGTGTCGGTGCGGTGCGGTGACGTCACGTACGTACTTGTGTCGAGGTGGTCGAGCGGGCGCAGGTGGTCGCGCGGCGGCACGAGCGCGTGCACGCGGCGGTCGGGGTAGGCTCGGCGTGTCGGTGCGGTGCGGTGCGGTGCGGTGACGTCACGTACGTACTTGTGTCGAGGTGGTCGAGCGGGCGCAGGTGGTCGCGCGGCGGCACGAGCGCGTGCACGCGGCGGTCGGGGTAGGCTCGGCGTGTCGGTGCGGTGCGGTGCGGTGCGGTGACGTCACGTACGTACTTGTGTCGAGGTGGTCGAGCGGGCGCAGGTGGTCGCGCGGCGGCACGAGCGCGTGCACGCGGCGGTCGGGGTAGGCTCGGCGTGTCGGTGCGGTGCGGTGTGGTGCGGTGCGGTGACGTCACGTACGTACTTGTGTCGAGGTGGTCGAGCGGGCGCAGGTGGTCGCGCGGCGGCACGAGCGCGTGCACGCGGCGGTCGGGGTAGGCTCGGCGTGTCGGTGCGGTGCGGTGCGGTGCGGTGACGTCACGTACGTACTTGTGTCGAGGTGGTCGAGCGGGCGCAGGTGGTCGCGCGGCGGCACGAGCGCGTGCACGCGGCGGTCGGGGTAGGCTCGGCGTGTCGGTGCGGTGCGGTGTGGTGCGGTGCGGTGACGTCACGTACGTACTTGTGTCGAGGTGGTCGAGCGGGCGCAGGTGGTCGCGCGGCGGCACGAGCGCGTGCACGCGGCGGTCGGGGTAGGCTCGGCGTGTCGGTGCGGTGCGGTGCGGTGACGTCACGTACGTACTTGTGTCGAGGTGGTCGAGCGGGCGCAGGTGGTCGCGCGGCGGCACGAGCGCGTGCACGCGGCGGTCGGGGTAGGCTCGGCGTGTCGGTGCGGTGCGGTGCGGTGCGGTGACGTCACGTACGTACTTGTGTCGAGGTGGTCGAGCGGGCGCAGGTGGTCGCGCGGCGGCACGAGCGCGTGCACGCGGCGGTCGGGGTAGGCTCGGCGTGTCGGTGCGGTGCGGTGACGTCACGTACGTACTTGTGTCGAGGTGGTCGAGCGGGCGCAGGTGATCTCGCGGCGGCACGAGCGCGTGCACGCGGCGGTCGGGGTAGGCTCGGCGTGTCGGTGCGGTGCGGTGCGGTGCGGTGACGTCACGTACGTACTTGTGTCGAGGTGGTCGAGCGGGCGCAGGTGGTCGCGCGGCGGCACGAGCGCGTGCACGCGGCGGTCGGGGTAGGCTCGGCGTGTCGGTGCGGTGCGGTGCGGTGCGGTGACGTCACGTACGTACTTGTGTCGAGGTGGTCGAGCGGGCGCAGGTGGTCGCGCGGCGGCACGAGCGCGTGCACGCGGCGGTCGGGGTAGGCTCGGCGTGTCGGTGCGGTGCGGTGCGGTGCGGTGACGTCACGTACGTACTTGTGTCGAGGTGGTCGAGCGGGCGCAGGTGGTCGCGCGGCGGCACGAGCGCGTGCACGCGGCGGTCGGGGTAGGCTCGGCGTGTCGGTGCGGTGCGGTGACGTCACGTACGTACTTGTGTCGAGGTGGTCGAGCGGGCGCAGGTGGTCGCGCGGCGGCACGAGCGCGTGCACGCGGCGGTCGGGGTAGGCTCGGCGTGTCGGTGCGGTGCGGTGCGGTGCGGTGACGTCACGTACGTACTTGTGTCGAGGTGGTCGAGCGGGCGCAGGTGGTCGCGCGGCGGCACGAGCGCGTGCACGCGGCGGTCGGGGTAGGCTCGGCGTGTCGGTGCGGTGCGGTGCGGTGCGGTGACGTCACGTACGTACTTGTGTCGAGGTGGTCGAGCGGGCGCAGGTGGTCGCGCGGCGGCACGAGCGCGTGCACGCGGCGGTCGGGGTAGGCTCGGCGTGTCGGTGCGGTGCGGTGCGGTGCGGTGACGTCACGTACGTACTTGTGTCGAGGTGGTCGAGCGGGCGCAGGTGGTCGCGCGGCGGCACGAGCGCGTGCACGCGGCGGTCGGGGTAGGCTCGGCGTGTCGGTGCGGTGCGTTGCGGTGCGGTGACGTCACGTACGTACTTGTGTCGAGGTGGTCGAGCGGGCGCAGGTGGTCGCGCGGCGGCACGAGCGCGTGCACGCGGCGGTCGGGGTAGGCTCGGCGTGTCGGTGCGGTGCGGTGCGGTGACGTCACGTACGTACTTGTGTCGAGGTGGTCGAGCGGGCGCAGGTGGTCGCGCGGCGGCACGAGCGCGTGCACGCGGCGGTCGGGGTAGGCTCGGCGTGTCGGTGCGGTGCGGTGCGGTGCGGTGACGTCACGTACGTACTTGTGTCGAGGTGGTCGAGCGGGCGCAGGTGGTCGCGCGGCGGCACGAGCGCGTGCACGCGGCGGTCGGGGTAGGCTCGGCGTGTCGGTGCGGTGCGGTGCGGTGCGGTGACGTCACGTACGTACTTGTGTCGAGGTGGTCGAGCGGGCGCAGGTGGTCGCGCGGCGGCACGAGCGCGTGCACGCGGCGGTCGGGGTAGGCTCGGCGTGTCGGTGCGGTGCGGTGCGGTGCGGTGACGTCACGTACGTACTTGTGTCGAGGTGGTCGAGCGGGCGCAGGTGGTCGCGCGGCGGCACGAGCGCGTGCACGCGGCGGTCGGGGTAGGCTCGGCGTGTCGGTGCGGTGCGGTGCGGTGCGGTGACGTCACGTACGTACTTGTGTCGAGGTGGTCGAGCGGGCGCAGGTGGTCGCGCGGCGGCACGAGCGCGTGCACGCGGCGGTCGGGGTAGGCTCGGCGTGTCGGTGCGGTGCGGTGCGGTGCGGTGACGTCACGTACGTACTTGTGTCGAGGTGGTCGAGCGGGCGCAGGTGGTCGCGCGGCGGCACGAGCGCGTGCACGCGGCGGTCGGGGTAGGCTCGGCGTGTCGGTGCGGTGCGGTGCGGTGCGGTGCGGTGACGTCACGTACGTACTTGTGTCGAGGTGGTCGAGCGGGCGCAGGTGGTCGCGCGGCGGCACGAGCGCGTGCACGCGGCGGTCGGGGTAGGCTCGGCGTGTCGGTGCGGTGCGGTGCGGTGCGGTGACGTCACGTACGTACTTGTGTCGAGGTGGTCGAGCGGGCGCAGGTGGTCGCGCGGCGGCACGAGCGCGTGCACGCGGCGGTCGGGGTAGGCTCGGCGTGTCGGTGCGGTGCGGTGCGGTGCGGTGACGTCACGTACGTACTTGTGTCGAGGTGGTCGAGCGGGCGCAGGTGGTCGCGCGGCGGCACGAGCGCGTGCACGCGGCGGTCGGGGTAGGCTCGGCGTGTCGGTGCGGTGCGGTGCGGTGACGTCACGTACGTACTTGTGTCGAGGTGGTCGAGCGGGCGCAGGTGGTCGCGCGGCGGCACGAGCGCGTGCACGCGGCGGTCGGGGTAGGCTCGGCGTGTCGGTGCGGTGCGGTGCGGTGACGTCACGTACGTACTTGTGTCGAGGTGGTCGAGCGGGCGCAGGTGGTCGCGCGGCGGCACGAGCGCGTGCACGCGGCGGTCGGGGTAGGCTCGGCGTGTCGGTGCGGTGCGGTGCGGTGACGTCACGTACGTACTTGTGTCGAGGTGGTCGAGCGGGCGCAGGTGGTCGCGCGGCGGCACGAGCGCGTGCACGCGGCGGTCGGGGTAGGCTCGGCGTGTCGGTGCGGTGCGGTGCGGTGACGTCACGTACGTACTTGTGTCGAGGTGGTCGAGCGGGCGCAGGTGGTCGCGCGGCGGCACGAGCGCGTGCACGCGGCGGTCGGGGTAGGCTCGGCGTGTCGGTGCGGTGCGGTGCGGTGACGTCACGTACGTACTTGTGTCGAGGTGGTCGAGCGGGCGCAGGTGGTCGCGCGGCGGCACGAGCGCGTGCACGCGGCGGTCGGGGTAGGCTCGGCGTGTCGGTGCGGTGCGGTGCGGTGACGTCACGTACGTACTTGTGTCGAGGTGGTCGAGCGGGCGCAGGTGGTCGCGCGGCGGCACGAGCGCGTGCACGCGGCGGTCGGGGTAGGCGACGCGCACGCGCAGCGCGCCCGGCTCGCGCACGCGCACCACCTCGGCCTCGAGCGCCACGCCCGCGATCAGGCCCGCGCTGAACCGCACCACCGTGTCGTTGTCGTTCGCCGGCTCCAGGATGCTCGCCGAACACATGCGGATCTATACGTTGCAATTGTAATAGATCATTCATAACTCTTTCGGTAATACAAAATACAACACAATATATCTAAAAGAAAATAACCAGCGAAATGATTATGGTTAGAATTTTAACCTTAATTTTTTTCAATTATAATTAATTGTCAAAGTGATACTCGAAATGGTACACGAAATTCTTTTCAGGTAGGAGATTTTTTGTCTGATTTCCGATGATGTTAGTGCTGTTAGCTTTTTGGCGCTTACAGCTTCTTCGGACTTAAGCAGGTAGATAATTCTTCAGGAGTTGTTTATAAAAGCGGAAAAGATTGATTGATTCACCATTCAACCTCTAGGTAAATATTGAATAATGGCTCTCTGGGAACGTTAACCCATTTTGGCTGTGAATTCTAGTGTTAATATAAATTTTCAGTGTCTACAACATATTATTGATAGTAATTTAAATCAAAGTAAATATTCATTAAGTGTATTTTCGTTTCATTTCTGCACAGCCTGTACAACAATCTTTAAATCCCAAAACGATACTTAATGAATTTTGATAGTTGCATGCATATGGAAACAACTATAAAATACTAGTTAGTGTTAATTTATAAACAAGTGGGTATCATTCGAATGCATACACGCATACACACACAAACATAATATGTACAGCCAGGCCTAACGCGTATTAAACAAGCTAGACTAGCTGTACATTTTTCAATGTAATTAATTTAACAGTCCACAAATTAAACAAACCTTGAGATTGGGTTTAGGTATAGTCGGCAGTGGCGCAGCCTGCAGTAGGGGCATTAAAGCTCGCGCTAAGGATGCCGGCTTGTGTTCTCCGCTTGCCGACAACAACTGAAATACTGCGATGGTGAATGGGTCTGGTTCCACACCTGAAACAACATGTAGTAAGTAATTAAACAAAATTGTAAAGAAAAATGTTACAACGTTGGATGTAGTACGAGGGAAAGGTCCTCAGAGTAATACACATTTAACAATCACACACGGTTCTGATGTTTTACTAACACCTTGTAAAGACTATGATTCACATAGTGAACGAGTTGGATACCATTTGTAATTCCAATTTTATATGCTGACTAGCTGTTCCCCGCGACTTCGTTCGCGTGTTAGGGTTTTTATGTTTCTGCGCGGAACCCTGATTCTTTTTCTAAAATAAAAGTAACCTAAGTTACTCCTTATGAACTCAGCTTTCTGCCAGTGAAAGTCCCGTCAAAATCGGTCCAGCCGTTTCGGAGATTACCCGGAACAAACAGACAGACAGACAGACAAAAATTTTAAAAATTGTATTTTATTTATAGGTATCGTATTTACTTTCATATGCATTTAGTAAAAAACTGTAATTTTGACATTACAAACAGACACTTCAATTTTATTTATTTGTATAGATTTACTATTCGTTCAGCGGAAAATGGAACAGTCGAGAAAGCTATTTATTTTTATTATATAGACATATAAGCTCAGTGTTAGGGACTGTTCTCTGTGCAATTGTGGTTCAGATGATAGAAACAAAAATCACAAATTTTCATTTGCACCAAATTATTATAAATTAACGATTGTTAACCCTTGTCGCCATCGAGTGTATACAGTGAAGAGCAGATTGAGGATTACAGACAAACACACCGAATTATAGAAAGATCACGGAGAAAAAGAGAAACAAAGGCCCAAATTGATGACAGACAAAAGCAATCTAGAGAGAGAATGAGTAACACTCGACAACTGAAAAACATTAAGGAAGTTACAGTCTAGACCACGAAGCGTTTCATTACAATTCCACTAGGAATTATAACGAACGTCCAACTATAGTGATAGGGGGAATAGATCAAAAATATGTAAATATTGTAAATCAAAAAAAAAAAATTAAAGAAGAAACACCACTACCGAAATTTTTGGAATTAATGAAATAACGGTGGTAGAGCCACGCAGCAGTTTATGCTGTTGCACGTATGGGCCGGCTCGAGCCGGGTTGGTACCACAACCTCACGGAATACCGGCGTGAAGTAGAGGCTCTGCTTCTGCGTTTCGTCTGGTGAGTGTAGGTGGCCGGAGGCCCAATTCCCCCCCCCCCCCCCCCATCAACATGGTAGCGGAATTACACACAAGTCTACCCCAAGAGGGTACCAGCACCCCTGGAGAATCTCTCGCTGAGCATCCACGACCATGTTATTCCAATCCTGAGCGTGGGTGCTCAGGCTGCCCCGCGTATTCTGGGGGGGGGGGGGGGGGGGCAAAATTCCGCTCAAAAACATAACTCGTCGGGGCAAACTGAGCAACAATACCAAGGCGACCCCTGCCACGCTATCCGTGAATTTCTGCAACATCAGGGGACTTCACTCTAACCTAAACGCCGTCCACTACCATCTCGAGACGGCGAAGCCGTCCTTGCTCTTTCTGACCGAGACGCAGGTTTCCTCTCCGGCTGATATTTCGCATCTCTCCTACCCGGGGTACAAACTGGTGAACTCCTTTGTGCCTCGGGCTGGAGTTTGCGTGTATGTCAGGGAGGACATTTGTTCTCGACGCCTCGGCAGTCTTGAAGGTTCGGACCTGTCCATCCTTTGGCTACGCGTAGACAGCGACGACCATCCGCGCGTCTACGGGTGCCTCTATAGGTCCCATAGCGGAAATGCCGAAACAGACCGACTCATCGACCACGTCCAAATGGCTACAGATTCCTTGCTACAACAGGTCCCATCCGCAGAGATCGTGATCCTTGGCGATTTTAACGCCCACCATGCCGAATGGCTCGGTTCACGTTTAACCGATCATGCGGGGAGATCTGTTTATGACTTTGCCTTGGCATATGGTCTGACACAACTGGTTACTTCGCCTACGCGGATTCCAGATGTGGAGGATCATACACCTTCCCTGTTGGACCTTCTGCTGACCTCTCATCCGGACGGATATCAGGTTTCCGTCGATGCCTCTCGGTTCCCCCTCGGCTCTTCGGACCATTGTCTGATCCGGAGTGTGGTGCCACTCACGCTCCCTCCGCGGTTGCGTTCTGCAGGTTGCCGCCGTGTTTGGCATTACAGGTCGGCGGATTGGGATGGAATGCGGTCTTTCTTTGCATCCTACCCATGGGGGCGGGTTTGCTTCTCGCCGGATGATCCCAGCGCTGTTGCTGACTCTGTCACTGATGTGGTGCTACAGGGAATGGAACTATTTATTCCATCATCTGTGGTACCCATTGGAGGCAGATCTCAGCCTTGGTTTGGTCGCTCCTGTATGACTGCATTACGCAGTAAGCAGGAGTGTTATCAAGCCTGGGCTGCGGCTTCGGCGACTCGGGATGTAAACACCAGCACATTTAAAAAGAAGTATAACTTCGCCTCCAGGTCCTTCAAAAGAGTTATTGCCAAGGCAAAGTCAGAGCACATAGGCAGAATTGGCGAGAAACTAGTTCGCCTTCCTTCGGGAACCCGTGCATTCTGGTCTCTCGCCAAGGCTGTCCAAGGGAATTTCTGTAAGCCATCACTACCATCTCTGCACAGGGAGGACGACTAGTGAGTCGTCTCCCTTTGTCTTTTGCGTCTTTCGGGCCAGTGGGCCCAAGACGCAAAAGACAAAGCTGACCTTTTTTGCGTCCAACTCGACTCTTGATGACGGGGGGAAAACACCGCCGACCATCCCGCGGTGTGAGTGCTCCATGCCGGATGTGCTGTTCTCACAGCGCTCGGTTCGCAAAGCACTTCTCCCCCTGGACATCCAGAAGTCGAGTGGCCCTGACGGAATCCTCCCAATTGTGCTGAGAACGTGTGTTCCGGAGTTGGCACCGGTCCTAACGCGTCTTTTCCGGTACTCCTACTTCCAAGGCGTAGTCCCGAATTCATGGAAGACCGCTTTTGTCCACCCGATCTCCCTAAAAAGGCGACCGCTCAGACCCGTCCAACTATAGGCCTATCGCGATCACCTCCTTGTTCTCCAAAATAAAGGAATCCATTATTAACTGCCAGCTCATCCGGTACCTTGAGGATCACCAGCTGATTAGTGACCGCCAATACGGTTTTCGTCGGGGTCGATCAGCTGGTGATCTTCTGGTCTACCTGACCCATAGATGGGCGGAGGCAGTAGAGTCCAAGGGGGAGGCGTTGGCCGTTAGTCTGGACTTTGCGAAGGCCTTCGATCGGGTTTGGCACAAAGCGCTTCTTTCGAAGCTCCCTTCCTATGGGCTTCCCGAGAAATTGTGCTATTGGATCACCAGCTTCCTTGCAGATCGGAGCATCAAGGTCGGTGTGGACGGTGCATGTTCTGACTACAAGCCTATTAACGCTGGTGTTCCACAAGGCTGTGTGCTATCACCAACGCTGTTTCTTCTGCATATCAATGATATGTTGCTAACTGGTAACATTCATTGCTATGCGGATGACAGCACTGGTGATGCTCTATACACCGGCCGTGCCAATATTTCTCGGGAAAACGTCGCTGAGTACCGGAACAAACTTGTGTCTGAAGTCGAGTCTTTGCTGAACAAAGTCTCGGATTGGGGGCGACTAAATCTAGTCCAGTTTAATCCTCAGAAGACACAAGTTTGCGCGTTTACCGCTAAAAAGAACCCCTTGTCGTATCTCCTCAGTTTCAAGGCACTCCCCTTCTTGCCTCAGCCAGTATCGGTATCCTCGGAGTCGACATATCGAGTGACGTGCAGTTTCGTGGTCACTTGGAAGACAAGGCCAAATTGGCCTCTGAAAAGCTTGGCGTGCTCAGCAGAGCGGGACAGTATTTCATGCCAACACACCGCCTGCAACTTTACAAGGCGCAGGTTCGGCCTCACATGGAATACTGTTCCCATCTCTGGGCAGGGGCTCCCCAGTGCCAGCTCCTTCCACTTGACCGCATCCAGCGCAGAGCGGCTCGAATCGTCGACGACCGAGCCCTTTCCGATCGGCACGATTCATTGGCACTGCGAAGAGATGTTGCATCCCTTTGCATTTTCTTTCGCATCTACCATGGGGGAGTGCTCTGAGGAATTGTTCGGATTAATCCCAGCCGCCAAATTTCACGAACGCACATCGCGGCAGAACTCCGATACCATCCACACCATCTGGATGATTGGCGGTCCACTACTGTGCGATTTAGAAGATGTTTTCTACCTCGCACGACTTCCTTGTGGAATCGATTACCATCAGCGATTTTTCCGGACCGATACGATTTAGGGACCTTCAAGAAAAGAGCGTACTCCTTTTTAAAAGGCCGGCAACGCATCTGCAATTCCCTCCCTGGTGTTGCAGTTGTTCATGGGCGGCGGTAGTCACTTACCATCAGGTGAGCCGCATGCTCGTTTGCTCCATCTTCTATAAAAAAAAAGTAGAAACACAAAATTCAAAAGATTTTTACAAAAAAATTTGAAGTTACAACGCATGTTTCCAAATGACTTCGTTTGGAGCAACTGAAATAAACCATAAACAAGGATTCAATAACCAGTGTTTAGAGGCCAAGGACAAATATATAATAAAATTGGATCATTATTATCACTTCCAAATGAATCACCGAACTTCTTACAAATTTACTTCATAGGAAATGAAGAAAACGAAGTCGACCAAAGGTTAACAAATTTTTCAGGATTGTTTCGAGATATAATTCATGATATACAGCGTTTTCTTCATGAAAATAATAAATTAATAATAAGAATGTTTAAGACTGCAATTGAAAAAATGGTCTCAGATAATTACAAAGTTCGAGCAGATAAAAGACCGATTGGTGAGCACGAACGACGGTTTAATGCACCTCAAATGTATGAAGTAGCGGTAGTAATTGTGGACAATGAGATCAGTTATATTGGGCAGGGATAATGGGATATTGTGGTTCAACGAAGAAGTAATAAGTTAGAACGTATTGTAACAACAACAAGTAACCTGTATGATTTCTTGCAATA